GACGTTTTCCCACCGGTTTTTCACAACGCGGAGGGAAATTGATTTGACGGGGGTTAAAAACTGCCGGTAAACATTTAAAATAGCCGCGAAGTAAAAATACAAGATTTTTGTAGTGATATATAGATATATATATATATATATATATATATATATATATATATATTATATGTTATGTTAAAATGTTGTAAAAAAAAATCTTATAAGGATTCTTGAAAGTTATTCAATCTTATATCGAGTCTTATGATTGTTTCTTACATATTAACTATAATGCATCTTGGACTTGGAAGATATGTTAAAATAAAAGTACTACAATAATGTCCTAAATTTTATTGTAACTTTTTTTATAGTTTTCCTTAAAGTGCTTATGGAAAAATTCGTCTGGACCTTTGGTCACTCTGTTTTTGGAGGATGGAGATGGAGGTCCTTTGATTTGTGTTATCAATGATGCTGATTAATGCATTGCAAAGGTTGATGGGAAGCAAGCTTATGCAATTCACTTGGAACCACCCCTGAGCAAGCATAAAAGTGGAAAATAGAAGTCCAAAAGTACCAAATCCCTGCGAATATACGATGCTCATGTTGAAATTAGTGGTTCTGAACCCAAAATTCCTCATTCAATGATTCACAGACAAGGTTTCCCCATTTCTTTTGGTTGGAATTTATAATTATTCATTATACATATCTTCCATGTCTATATTTGTAATTGGTTCTGTTGATTTTTTATTGTTGCAAAATATTCTCAATAAACAATGCAAGTTCTTCCTTACATTAAGGAAGCTGGATACAATGTCATCCAACTGATTGTAATTGTTGAACATAAGGATTATTTTACTGTTGGTTACAGAGTAAGTTAATGTTGTAATTCTTATTTTTCTCATGGTAATTACACAGTGATTTAAGATTTTTATTTAAGTTATGTGTATGAATTGTACAAAGGCAACATGTTTTTTTTAAGTCTTGACACTGACACAAACTATGTGCACACCTTGTACATGCTGGCATGCTGCTTATAATTGTTTATAAGTTTTGCTAGAATTTTATTACCACTATGACCTTTAGTGACATGCTCAAACATTGATTCAATGGTGCAGGTTACAAATTATTTTGCTATTAGTAGCAGATATGTTACTCTTGAGGATTTGAAGCGATTAGTTGATGAGGTCCATGGTAAGCATTTTTATGTAGTACTGATTTTATTTTTATTGCTTGAAATAACCATGTTCATAGTTACAGTTCTTAAGGTATTGGATTAGTTGGGTTGCCCATATGGTCAAATTTTGCTAAGTTTTACTGATTGAGATTTATTTGTGCTTTAATTTACCATATACTATCTGATACATACTCTCTCTTTTAATTTGACAACTCTAGAATTGTACAATTCAACTGAAAAAATAAGAAAAATTGTTACCCCTCAGTTTTAAAGTTTTCACGAATTTTATTTTTAATTTTGTGATTTCATTTTTATGTTGTAGGTATCTGATCAAGGGAGTGTGTCAAACAATGGATGTAATGAAAAAGAAGAAAATTAGATATTGTTATTGAATATCTTTATGATTCATATTTTTAGTATTGAACATTTGTATTGAATATATGTATTGAATATCTATATAGAACATATGTAATGAATATCTTTCTTTTTAATTTTTATGTATGAACAATTAGTTGTATGAATGATATTTTAGCTTGAACAATGTTGTTTATTTTATACAATATTATTCAATTTTAGTTATTAATTTATTGTTTGTTTTCTCAATAAAACCATTTTTATTATAATCCAATTTTATTACTATAAAAAAATAAAAATTAACTGGATACGTTTCTGGCAGTTTTAAAACCTGGTTAACTAAACCATGCAAATTAGGGGCGGTTTTCAGTAACCCCCGCTAATACCGGCGGTTTTCACAAAACCCCTGGTAATTCCGACGGTTTTTGAAAACCCTCGCTATTTCCGGCGGTTTTTGAAAACCCTCGCTATTTCCGGCGGTTTTACAAAAAATCGTCGGTAATTATTTAGTGACGCAGGTTTTCCCAACAGTTTTCCTAACCGCGGGTAACAGATTTTTCGGGGGTTAAAACCGCCGGAAACGAAAAAAATAACCCCCGGTAAAAATCTAATTTTTTGTAGTGTAAAGTCAAATCCACAATAACTAAAATAGAAAAAACAATTGCTTCTTCCTAATCGAATTAATTATCTTGTAGCTATTTATTTAATAGTATTTCCCATTTTCCCAACAAAAAGAATTGCACTTTAGCAAAATTTCTAAAAGAATTAATAGTAAGAAGAATATCTTTTTATTACCTTGAGCAACTTAAAATTATTTAAATATATAAACTTTTAGGTCTCACACAGTGGTGAGCCTCTGGCTCCCCTCTAATATTGGATATCAGTAATTAAAACTTACGGAAAATCTTCATATTTATATTTAATTTGAAAGTAATTTTATTTGATTGTTATTTTTAAATGTATAATAAATCGGTCAAAATGATAAGCCAAATGATAAATTTTAATATTAAGTTAAAAGTGAATTCTTCCATCGATGATTTCTAATAAATTTCAATTAATAAAATTCTCTATAAATTAAAATTAAATTATGTATATGTTAATTCTCACATTAAAGTCTCAAAAAATTAATTTTTATTCAATATATAATCTGATTTTATATTACAAAAAAATCCTTACAAGAACATTTGTCCAAACACAGATCTTTATAATATAAATTTACTAAATGGTAATAATAATAACAGTAAAATTATAATTAAGTTATCTTACAAAGTATCTTCGTCCTAGTATACTATGATTATTATATCCAGTTTAAATTCTTTTAATTAATTTCGCCTATGCATAAATGGAAAGATGCAACTAATCATGGCTTAAGCTTTGATTATTTTATTGATACCTGCAATAATAACGTTTACAAGTTAAAAACCAAAGCATATTCATTTAGTCATAAGCACGTGACTTTTCAGGGGCTTCTTCCAATTTCTTAAATTTAACGACCAAGCGATTCTCGTAACTCTCAGTCACCACCAAACGCCTGTTTTCTCCATCATCGACTTCAACCGCAAGGTAGGTACATTTACGAGGACGAGGGCCCGAGGGACAGAACAAGAGGTTGTAGCCCAAAGAAAGAGCGCGCCGAATTTGAAATGAACCCGATACAGTGTTGTCGTACCCTTTAATTTTAACATAGAGTTTCTCTTTCTCATCATCCCACAAGGCAGTCCAGTCAGAAGGAGCGGCGCCACTACACTTAAGATCAGAAGAAAGCTGAATATTTACATAGTTGAATACTCCGGGAGCAGGAAAATCTGACGGATCTACTCTAAATTTTATCGGTGTACCATAATCAGAAGAATTTGTATTTTGAATAACAGATAAAGGACAGGTTTCGTTTCCTGTACGGGTAATGTCTAGACCACCCCCGCCGTTTATACTTAGCTCGTGTGCAATAAGAAAGTAATCGTCAGAAAAATAGGGAACAGAGTCACCGTTAATGTCTAGTACATCGAAAGCGGTGCTTGAAGGAAGGTACGAGGTGAAGGCAGAAAGTAGAAAGAGAACGAAGAAGGTGGTAGTACGCATCTCCATTTCTTATGAGAGGCTTGTTGTGAATAAGCAACCTAGCAAGAATCATCTATTTATGGACTTGACTGTAGTAAAGTGAGTCGTAGATTAATATGGAAATGGTGAATAGTATTTTATGACTTTAATATATTTTTACTTTGATACTAAATTAGAATTTTCTTTAGGAGTTTTTTTTATATATTTTAGTCTTCAAATTTTATATAAATACGTAGATTTAGTCTTTTTAAGTTTATTTTCAAAAAGTTAAAAGATTAAATTACATTAAAATTTTAAAAATAGATTAATTTTAATTTTTAGTGAGAGTTAAAAAACTAAAAATAAAATAAAAAGAATATATACGGATAAATTTTATGGGTTGTGAAACGAAAATGTGTAAAGAAATATCTATACACTAGTGCAGTAAGGGGAAATGATATCGGTTAATTTTGCTTATAGACATCGGTTCTGCAACCGAGACATATACAAATGAGGTAAAAAGAGGTGGCTTTATGCCTCGGTTCTAAACCGGGTTAAAACAAGATAGGATTATGCCTCGACTATTAGATAATCGAGGTAATAACGTGTTTTTTTTTTATTTTTTCAGTATGCATTTGGATTATCTCCTTGTTTCACCCTAAGAAGGATTTTTGACTGAGTTAGACAAACATTGTAGTCCTTGAAATAATCTTATGTATTTTCTCCTTCTTCGTTGCATTGAAGAGAAGGAATACTTCTTGGATTTGCCAAGAGTCTTCTTACCACCACTTCTCCCTCTTCGTTACACAGTCCAAGCAAAAGGGTTATTGAATTTTCCTTCCCTTTCACAGAACCAAATCTCAGAAGATCAATAAGAAGTGGCACCAGTGCTCTACTATTTCTTATCTCTTCCAATCCCTCAAAGCAACCAAGGAGTGAAGCAAGCACTGCAACAACAACTACACCAACCTTAACAAAATCGCTCCCAAAATAACACAGAAAAAAAGTACCTTTTTAGCTTTTGTAAGAATCAAAGGCTTTTGGGTTTTGATGCAATGAGCATTGCGGAGGTTGTAATCACCAACTCTACGAACAATTTGGGGAAGAAGGGAGTCTCCTACAAGGTCAAACGAGAACAGAGAGAAGAAAAGATGAAGGTTGATGCCTCCCCTTCTCGTAAAAATGCCACCGCTGCAAGACGTCTTCGCCGCGACTTCGCCACGACCTCGCCGCAAGCTCTTCGTGCCTCGCCAACGCCATCGCTGCAGGACGCCCTCGCCGCGACCTCGCCGCCACCTTGCCGCCACCTCGCCGCGGCCTCACTACGGTCTCGCTACGGCCTCGCCGCCACATCGTCGTCGTTGCCAAGGAACTCCGTTCAACTCTTAGATCGGCGAACCTCCCATCATCTCCAAGGCACCATCTTCTCTGCTCGCCAA